AGATGCATGAAGAAATCCATGATTCCAAATCCATTGAGCCCCACAGCTGAGACGCCAAGAGGAGAAAAGAGACACTGGAGGTGATCAGAGATGAAGAAAGAGATAGATTGAAGCACAGAGAGATGCCGGGGGGTGATCAGCTCTTCTGTCATGTATGTGCACTCATCTGGCTTCAGTTTCCCATAATCCTCCAGTCTTGCCTGAAGGCACGTTTTGCTACAGGAGGGATACTGTCTGGCAAACTTGGTTTTGAAGACAGAGAGCATGTACCCAGCTGACAGGGAAGGTACTGAAGTACATTGGCTAACATTCTGGCAAGGTTCTCTTCTGAACAAACGTTATTCCAGTAACTTTGAAAGAGCATTCATTCAAAGTTACCTGGTTTTTAAAGACGCAGTATGTTATATTGACAGCTATCGGATAAAATGGGTACTGAAGTCCAAATTCAAAATATTGGAGAGAGTTGTTTCTCCTGCCCCTTCTCCTCAGACTCGACGCTCACGCGGGTTGCCAGATTGAGGCCACGCAATAGGAATTATTAAAGCGCAATTAACAATGGAAGGTGACAAGCCTTAAACTGTAAGTTGATGAGTTGATTTATCTGTGTTTTAATTGACTATTAAACCCCTCTGGTCATTGAGCTTCTAGGAGGCTGAGGGCTTTTAGGTTGGGTAGAAATGCGATCTCTGACCCAGTTCGATTGCTGGCTTGCATGGCTGCAATACGCTGTGTTTTACACCAACTGGCAACCTGGGTGTCTAAATACTATTGGGTAAATTGGCAGTGGGCGAGATCACACAGACCAAAACAAAAACAGACATTCCGACACAGAACGCATATTTCGAAGTAGAATAACTGGCTGTAGCATTGCTTTTCAGAGAAATAAATATCTGCAAACATATTATGGTATTTTTATGCTTTAGTAAAGTCCAAAAAAATTACATACAGCACATTTAATAATGTTCTCAAAACATTTGCCCAAAAACATTATTTATACATGGTTCATGGAACTTCTTTCTGAAAACCCTTTAGTTAGATGTCATCCTTTTTTTTTTTTTTTTTTTATGTTACTGTTTAAGAATGTTTAAAGAACACTCAAAAGTAACATTCCCATAATGTTTGCAAAATAATCAAATGGAATGTTCCCAAAACATTTGTTTAAAAGTTTTTTTGTATGAAAAACCCTCTTTTTAACTGGACTTTTTGAACATTCAGAAATGACGTTTTTTAGCTTAATGGAAACTTTAGAACTTTTTTAGAACATTTCTGTTATATGGGTAGGTGTGAAGGGGACCTAATAAACAACCATAAAAAAAAAAATCTTCAATGAACATGAGTTATTGTATAACCCAGTAACATTTGCTTTTCTTATAAGACTCTTATAATAATTCTGCTCCATTATTCATAATCTGCCTGTAATTATGTTGTGTAATTTTATGCTCATTTAATTGATTGGACACATTATTAACTGCTGATAAAACATCATGAGGGAAATATAAACCTCTCTATGTAAACCCTCATCTTTAATCCTAAAAACGAATTGCTGTTACTATGCCTAAATGAGTCAGCTGCAGAAAATCCTGAAGATAGACTGGCTGTTTGTTTGCTGAGAGCTTCAACGCACTGAAGTGGCGACAGAATCAAATCTAGTACTGTTTAATCTACTCAGCTAACCCGTGTTATGCTCTTTGTAGCTTTCAGTTAGCGGCAGAACCCTTGACATCAAAATCGAACTGCATTTAAGAGCTGCCATATGGCAGGAGGGATCTGACTGAATTACTTTGATGCAAGATTCAGTTTGTGCTTCTTTGATATCACACCTGATGTTGGCCATATTATCCTGTCACATGGATTTGTCAACTTCACTTTGATCCTCTCACATTAAATTAATGATCAGCATTTTTAACACAGATTTGTTAAACCAAATCACGGTAGTCATTGTGACATTGTGAACTGCTACAGAAAACTTGAGATATTTGTGCACTTTTTTTAATATTCTGACCTTTAATGAAAAATATATTGACCTTAATCTAATGGTTAATCAAATTTAAAAAACAAAATTTGGTGTATACTAATGATGAAATGCCATTTTAGTGTCTAAAAAGGTGTTGTTATTGTTAAAGTTGTCATGAAATGGAAGTTGCAATAGTCTTTCCTTCGCGATTGTGACACATATCCGAGTGAAACGGCTTCTCGAACAAGAAAAAATGTAGGGCGGGACTTTTTTTGTCCAACTATACTTGATTGGATGCTTGTGGTTTGTTGCCGATCTCATGTGAGTGACAGGTTGTACCGCCCTCGTGCCAGTAAACACATCATCAGAGAAGAAAAGAGATGGCACTGCAAGAGGGAGGGGAAGTTATTTTGATTATTTTGATTAAGGGCACATGCATAAAAAAAAAACAAATAAAAAAAACCCCGATGTGCACAGATAAATCATTTATAATAAATACTGCAATAAGAATTGTCATTTTGATTTCATTGTGACTAAAATAAAACAAACTATTTTGGCAATTAAAACAATAGGTCCAGTAATTGAAAAATAAGCTAAAATAAAATAAACTTTAATTTAATCAAATATTACTTTTGCAACAAACTGAAATATGTTAAAGTACTAAATAAGTACTAAAGTACTAAAATTTTAACTAAAATAAAATGAAAATATAAAATCAAAGGCTAAACCAAAATATTAATAAACACTATAATAGTAGTGGTCTTCAAACATATCCAAGTACCTAAAATATGTTTAATTTGAATTTAATAGGAAAATATCCTTATTTGAATCCCACTGACTGAATTCATATGAGCAGAGGCACTATTTACGTAACAAGGCACTGTTGCTTATTGTTCAGGCATGAAGCCTCTTGCATGTATCTCACATCTCTATCAGTGGGAGGTGTTTGAGCTGACTGAATCATCTAGACCAGTGTTTCTCAGTCTTGGGGTCCTGGAGTAGCCCAGACCTGCACATTTTGGATGTTTCCACTCATTTTGCCAGTATTAGTGGCTCCAAGACCTGAACTGGAAAGAAAGATATGATTATTTCATATATATTAACTAACTTCATCAGCTGTAATCATTATCCTTATCAAATGACATTTGAGCAGATTTATAAAAATCCGATATTTCTAAAATATGTTAATGTTTGCATCTCATTTAAGGTCTCAAAAATGAGAAATACTGATATTCCTTACCATTTCCTGACATAAACAGCAGTGTTGCTCAGCTTCTGCTCTTTCTTCAGCGTGATGAAGTTCAACAAGACAGTTTCCTTAGGGTGGGAGTTTGATTAAAATGAGCAAATCAGAGCTGGGTATGAATGATTCACAGTATTTTTACACTTCTGCTCTCACTGTAAAAAATATTTTGTAATGTAACCTAAAAATGAACAAACTGATCTGGCTTTAAAAATATATTACATGACAGATTCAATCTAGGTCACATCAGCAAAAGTAATTTTAAAGGGGTAAGATCATGAGGAATGTATCTAACAGCTGCAGTTTCACATCTTCCAGTCTCAAATTTGATATCATGGTTGATATTAAAGTCGGCGTGAAATGGAATTTGCAATAGTCTTTTCTTCTCTATTGTCATGTATATCTGAGTAAAACTGCTTCACGAACTAGAAAAAATGTGGCGGGTGACTTGATTTTGTTCCTCGGGAATTGATTAGATCATTGTAGTTTGCTCTTGTGAGTGACAGGTTGTTCTGTCCTCACGCCAATAAACGTCATCAGAGAAGAGACTTTTTTTGATTGAAGATTATATATATATATATTTTTTATATATGAAATTATATATAAGATTATATACCTAGATTTATTTATAATAAATACTGCAATATTCTGTTAAAAAATAAGAATTTGATTTTGACTTTAATCAGTGTCAATAATTGTACATGCTATTCCGCAGAAGCTTTTTACAGATGACAACGCTGTCAAAATGATTCCCGTTCACGCTGATCCAAGAAAACGATTAAAACGCTTTATTATTCATGCCTTTGTAAAGAAACTACATGGCTACAAACCGAACACATAATACGAATGCGCATGACGTCACCATTTTCACAAAAAAATGTTTTTCACAAACTTGCACTTTTCAAACCCGTTTTCAAAAGTTTGCGTTTTCAGGCCCCCAAAATGCCGTTGTATAAAAGCCCGGCCAAAATGCATAAAAAGTTTTCAGTTGAAAACGCTGTCGTGTGAACGCCCCCTTACTCTAAAGTTGAGTTCACAAACTACAGGAACAGAAACCCTGGGATTTAGTGGTTTAAAAGCAAAATGCTACAACAGGAGGTCAGCTTCATTGACAGCTAAATTAAAAACATGGAGTTATTGGAATCACCACTCGACTTGGAGACTCCTGGTTCAATATTCTTTGTGAAATCTGTGCCATTTTTCATGTTTTTACTTGACATTTCAAGCGTGGCCCTGCGTTTAAAAATGGTAACTAACCTAAGTTGCCCTCGCGTCAGCGTCTAGTCACAAACAAGCTTGCACAGTGTAATGATTTATTTGGAACATGAAAACACGTACACATAGAAACACGTCTTAGCAAAACGGACCTCAGATAAGAGCACGATAGAGACTTAACATAAATGCAAACATCTGCAAGCAGCTTTCTTTCCTTCTTTGATTTCCTCAAATGGACATCAAATCCATTCAGCTCTGTTGACTATCCTGACAGTGTTAGATGTTATGTGTCAGCGGCATCATCTAATCAAAACGTTCCTCCAGACACATTGACAGCTGTAGGTGCGTTATACATTCTAATAAGATGATCCGGTATTAAACGTTACGGCATATCAAAATACAGTGGCTATAAAAAATATCATTTCACTGTAAATCAGATACTTAATCGCCGAACCAGCACATACATAAATAAATATCCTTTATATGGGTTATAAATCTCAATACAAACTTGAAGTATTAATATAGTTGAATTCAACTCCATGCCTCCTAAGACTATACATGTAACGCTAATGTATGAATCTCATCTCTCGTCATGACGCTATGCCAACTCAGAGGCTCCGTCGTAGCGAGAGGAATGTAGCGCTTCGCACTCCCAGGTTAATTGGCCTGTCCGCTGCATGCTACGGGACACTCTGAGTTCATAGTCATGAACGGTCACAAATGACCGTGATTGATGTTACGCCACGCGGTGCTGGTGTCTTGGCTGCGTGTGAGGCTCAGGGCTGGCGTGCTGAGCCCGTACAGACCACAGCTGGGACGGGTGATCCAGATCCACAGCTGTCCGGGTGAAGGCTGAGGGTCTCGAGCCCCCCGTCGCCGCCTTAGCTCGGCTGGCACTCGTTCTTGCTGCAGGTGGCCTGCCGCTCGATACGCCAGGTGCCCTCCTCGTACGTGCAGTAGCAGATGGTGCATTCGTCAATCTTCACCTCTCGGCCGGCCGGGATCACCGCCGTGTCCGCGTAGCAGTTCGGCCCTGTGCACAGATGGGAGAGGCTGTATCAAACTGAGAGAAAGCCTGTTGAAACCAGCCAACAGAACCGCAACGCCTGGCTTTGAGTGACAGTAACTGTCAGGGATCGACATGAAATGATGTCAGCTGACCTCATGTAAGTTTTATGAGTTGGCAGTCAATCAAAACACAATAGTCCGACAGAAGTCAGTTCTTGCCCTGCATGTACAGGGCGCCAGGCCATAAAAAGAAATGAAGAAGCAAATGAAATATTTAACAGCCAAAATGACTTTTGAGTTGACAAATTACAAAATTGCTTAATAAAGATGGTTGTCCTGAAGTGTTTCAGCTCACATTGCTATATAGACTAAGTTGACTTAAAGTTATATAAAATTAGGTGTTATTGTATTTAGTAAATAATTTTGCCATTTTATTGCTGTAACTCAAGTGATTATGATAATATCCGTGCCAATATCACTGCTTTTTATAAAAAAGCGAAATGTTGTTGATTATGCTAACATGTCAACAAGTGTTTGACGTACACTTGATTCAGTTGTATAATTGGACATCATTTGTTAGGTGATAAACAATATTTGTTTCTTCAATTACACATTGTCATGTGATCAGTTAGTCAGTAAACAGACTAATGTATGTCTTATGAACTTATATATTATATATACAAGTATATATAACAGGAACAATTCTTGGATCGAACATTAAAAATGACTCCCAGTTCAGTGAGTGAGTCAGTTGTGAACTCAGTAACCGCTCTAAATGATTCTTATTCAAACCAATACCTTATGAGCATGTTTTGGGGCTGTTTCATGAATCTTTTTAAATGGCTTATTACAAACAACCAGTTCATGCGAGTGGCATTTAAAATTGACATGCACAAGATGATAGCTGATTCATAAAAAAAAAAAAAAAAAAAAAAAAAAGTAAATACCATTACAGAAAAATGCTACCTAGGCACAGCTTCCAGTTACCGATTCTTGCTTCATTTTGTATCGGACATGAAAATTGACTTCCAGTTCATGAACAATATTTACGGAACCAGATTCAAACTAAAAGCTTTTTTGTGTATCTTTTTAAATACAACCAGTTCATGAGAGTCTTTTTTTCATTAGCATTCAAGACCAGCGTGCACAAGATGGTATCTGATTAAACGGAATATGGATGCACAAAAAGATTGACCAGTTGTCGCACTTTCCCAATTGCAACTAGATTTTGTTTGCGTGTGTCATATTTGTGACCATTTTAGTTGCAGTCAATCAACTCACTTCATCAAGGCAGTGACATTTTGTCTTGGCATTTCATCTTGAACCCACAGATGACAATCAGTCCTCATCACAATGGTGTTAGAGGTTTCAAATGACAATGGTACCTCTAAAGATGTTCACACTAGAGAGCACAGTTCAATATCCGACCTTCCATTAAACATGCCTGTGTCATAACTTCAGAGAGGAGGTAATTGCTGAGCTTATGGTGCACCATAAACATTTATCAAGCCCCAAGTGCAGACTCAAACCTTTAGTGTGCTAATATATAAAGTCTTCCTTCCACGGCATACATTTTAAATATTTTTATGCGAGTGCTCTCTCAAAATGTACAAACCTAGTTTAAAACGGAATCCAGCTATACTGCTTTAATAGTAAAGCTGGTCTCTGGAAATACAGTAGCTGTTGAAACTGATGAAACCAACACTGTTAAATAGAAATTGGAAAATAGATAAATAGGTACTGTTTGCAAACATCCTGCTACAGTATTCAGAGCCATGATACAATGGGTTATGCATGCAAAACACATAAACAACCCCTTCCTTGTTCATGTCTGGTCTTAACTGTCTTATCATTACTGTGAAGGCAAAAAACCTTGAACAAAAAAACAAAACAAAACAAAAAACACCCATCCAACTATGGCCAGCTTTCAATGGAAAATAGAATGGCACTGCAATGCCACATCATGCACTTGACCATGCAGGTCTAAAATGACTCAAGACAAATACTATGGCTCGTCACATTCTGAGGCATACGTTAACTGGAAAAAGGCAAACTTGAACATTGTCTAGACAAAACCTGGCCTTAAATTTTAAAACACTTCAAATCTTGAATGGATTGGGTGGTTTTTCACTACAGGACAATCAAGCCTGATTAGTTTGGAAAAAAAATAAAGCCTAGTAAGTCAGAACAGCATGAAGTATTGTGTTGAGTTTGGTGAACACAGCTTGAAAGCTCTAGCAGGAATTAAGGGAATTTTACACAGTACTCGATAGGCAGCAAGCTTTGCATTCATTTGCCATATAAATGAGAGGGTGTGTGAAACATTGTGTGCAACTGCTTCAACTCCATACTACACTGTACAAACAAATCCATGACATTTATGGTAAAAAAGGGACAGTAGAAACATATATTTCATGAATTAATGTAATGTTAATATACCAACCTACTTAAGTTCTAAAATCTGTTGTACCTTTATGATATACTTACAACCATATAAAGCACAGATGGTAAAGAGAAAGCCACATGATGAATCAAAGTTCATACAGAAGGTACATAGTATCATACACACAAACTCAAAATAAAACACTAAAGCACTAAACAATAACTTAAAGTCCCCGTGAACCGGAAGTTGCAAACAACTTTTCTCCAGTGTTGTGACGTATTTCCGAGAGAAACTGAATACTAAATGAGGCAAAATAGTGGGCGTGGCTTTTTTTCCAACTAGCACCTGATTGGATCTAGAAAAGTAGGCGTTTTCATTCAGCCTGTCTACTGTCAGTTGGAGGGGCGTGGTTATGGATGTTAAGCAGACACCCAAACCGTCAAACCTACGTCATCAGGGAAGGTCCTCCAATGCAGAGGGGAGGGGCATTTTCTAAATTTGATTAAAGATTACGAAGCTTGACTTGCATGGATGAATTGTTCACCACAAAACGATCAATTTAGGCAAACAAAGTAAGTATGGTCAATTTTGATTTCATGTGGACTTTAACATAAGATGTAACATAAAACCGTAATGTACATAATTGATAAAAAAAACTATGAAGTAACAATTATTTCAATGAAAACCATAATTTAGTATTTTACTGTAAAATCACAAAAAGCCACGTTAGATTTATTATAGGTTTTTACCATATATATAGTAAGGAGACTTACTGTTAAGCAATTAACTTTTACAGTTAAAATTATGATCATTTTATACAGAGCAGCATTTGAAAATATTGCATTCTGTGCTGAATCTAAATGATAAATAATGTATTTCTCAATAAAAGTGTCATTTCTTCGTAAAACAGAATACAAACCAAATAAATTGGCGTGTAAATTCGGATATGTCTGAAATCACCCACTCATTCACTACTCCCTAGTCGGGCTGGGTTAAAAAATATTGATTTCTTAATTTCAATCGATTCTTATTTTGAAGAACCGATATCGATTCTGAAATCCTAAGATTTGACTTTTCAGTCTACGCTGTTTTCAGTTTATGAATGATTAGCGCGCTGCGTGCCTCCCAATAAATCGCAATAAACTTTGTGTTTTGGTACTTCTGATATGAAACAAAGTGTCAGCTTTTAAATTCTGTCAATTTTGTTACGAAATTTTAACAATAAAGAGCTCTTTAATGTGGTGTGACAGATCACTGTAGTGCCTCATTTCAAGCAAAGAGTCAGCGTGGAGCGCACATGAACCGATCATCTCTTCCACATTATTACTAGTTACAGCACAAAACAGACATGAATGAACATCAGAAGGTATGTACAACTGAGATACAGTACATCTAACCGAAATCCGTATCGTCACATTTAATCATCTCAATCAATGTCACGTAATGTTAAATTAACCTCAAAAAAGCCATTCAAAGTCCAAAAACTTGTTAGTCAGCTGGAAAAATTAACTCTAGAGAGGAGCATTTTTCTAAATATATGCACACTTTTGCATACTCATTGTATTTTCACTGTTCGTCAGTATTTAATGTTTGAATAAATCCGTTGTTTTTTATATAAATGTTTATAAGCTATTCAAAAAAACCTGAGTAGAAACATAATTATGTCATTAAAAATGTATCCATATAAGCAGCCAACAAATCAGTTAATTTCAACCTTTAAGATTATAGTGATGTACCAAATGGAGTTCCCTGTATAGTTTGCAGCATTAGTTGAGAGAGATTTTTTTCCTTGAGAAAATTTGGTATAAAACATGTATTGTACCTGATAGGCCCCAATTAATTGACATTAAATCGAAGTAGAATAAAATCACAACTTGCGAAACCTCAGCGGGATACTCATGAACGGCAAGCTCCTGCTGTGCTGTGTAAAATTACTTTTCAAATGGAAGTTACTCATCAGGTATGGGAAACCAGAACAGGATGCAGGACTGTGCCGAATTGGTTGGATGAAGCTTGAAAACTGAGGTTACATTTTAGATGTTAAATGTTTAGTCTCAGGTTAAAAAATGTTGAAAAAAATCTTTTTCAAGCCAACATAATTCATTTTTTAAAAATGATTCCATTAGGCCTAAGGAGAAATGCTACCGGGGGCGCAGATTCCATTTCCCTCTTCTTTTTTTACATTCGCCAAACAAGGATGAATTGGCATTCATCCTCTAAAAGACATTATCATAGAAGATGGAAGACTACATAAAAAAAACATGGGCACATCAATCATCTTGAATATTTGGCTGGTGCTGTCAAGACATCATCCAAGCCATATTTATAATAATTTCAGAGCAAACACTTCAGATTCCTACCTCCAAATATCAAGACTGCAGTAAAAGCAGCGGATTCATCGTGAACGTTTATAGCTCAGATCACCCTATGCCTCTGTACTGTATGTCCGTTAATATTGCTGCCATTTATGTTTAACTGTTACATAACAGAACATGATTATGTATTGTCACATTATATGTTATCATACAAAGAGAGGGGGTAGAAAATGCTGAAAAAAGAGGAAGAAGAGGACAGGGAGGAAGATAAACGTGTTCAGTGCAAGCATGAGCAAACAAATCGGCGGAGGAGAAGTCTGCTTGCTG